TTTTCAAACAGCCGTAGTCCGTAAACTATGATTCCTACAAAATTGATTCATAAAGAACGGAACGTATCTACCGTCTTATAGGGGGATCTACTGTATTTATATATTTTCTTCTTTATCTACTGACTTAATGAAACATGGGCGTATAATCTGGGCATTGGCCTTCAGGAGATATGGAATACGTCTTCCTTCTAGGGAATTTCGTGGCATACTCCTCGAATCATGCAAAACTCTTTCTATTTTTCATGAGTTTTCTCCAATCATCTTTTTGGATTCTCTTACGTGAACAGAGGAAAAGGCTATTTATTGAGGGGTTGACAATTCCCACGGTGTTGAGATTTTTAGTAGATAAGGGAAAACAAAAGGATGTTTCATCTTCTGTTGCAGGAAGTGAATTTTATCAGTTTCCCTCGTTTAGAAAAACGTAATTTTTTCACCAAAATCAAAGAATATTTTTTGACAAAATTTTAACTTTTTAATTAAATTATTAATCAATCCCAGTGATAGTTTAGATCTCACAAAAATGTCTGCTGATACCATCTACCAAAGCAACAGGAAAAGAGAATAACAAGACAAAACCACTTCTACCTAAAACTGGTAATAACTAGGAATATGGGTTCCAAAAAAGCTAGTAAGAACCCACTTAATAAACAAAGAATGAAAGCAGCTCTCTCTAAATCTAAAAAATTGGAGACTCAGTCTATGAGTGAGTTCTCTGATATTTCTGATGAAGAGACTAATAAGGACGTGACACAGCCAACATTACCTTCAAAAGAAAAATCCCTTATTAGATTAAAGAGAGATATTTTCACAAAAAATGTTGCCTCAAACACATAATGGATAACAAAATAATCCAATGGAACTGTCGTGGTTTCCACAACAACTTCTCTGACATTAAACACTTGACATTATCTACACCATCTCGCTGTGTGGCAATCCAGGAAACCCATCTTAAACCAGAAGAAAGAACTTTTTAAAAATAATTTGATCTTTACAGTAATGAGGATGGTAGCCACAACTGCGGCAGTGGAGGTGTGGCTATTTTGGTTTCAAATCACATCTCATCCTTACTAGTACCAATAACCACTGATTTGCAAGCTGTGGCAGTCAGAATTACTATTGGAGTAACTGTAACAGTTTGTTCTATATACTTGCCACCAGATGTCAGAGTGAACGAGGATGAATTGGATGCCTTGGTTGAACAGTTGCTTACTGCGTTCCTTTTACTGGGTGATTTCGATGGCCATAATCCAATGTGGGGCAGTCTGGACATCAACCGCCAAGGCAGAGCCATAGAAAGATTCATAGGCAATCAGCAATTATATTTATTTAATACTGGAGAAGTGACATACTTCCATGTTCCAACAAGAACATTCACTGCCATTGATCTATCTTTAGTAAGTCCAAACCTGTTTTCAGCATATACATGGGGGGTTGGATCTAATCCACTGTTTAGTGCCCACTTCCGAATATTTCTAAAATATCAAGGCAGAGAAAACTGAAACAGCCCGTCCACAATACTGGAAACTGGAAACGACAGATTGGCCTGCATTCTCCTCTTTGGCTAACATTACTGAGGAAATGATCAATACTGCTGATATCAAGGATGCAGTTGATGTTGTCACTACCACTATTATTTAGGCAGCTGAAAAAACAATGGGAAAAACATCAGCCAGATATCCAAAGCATCCGAAACCATGGTGGGATCAGAATTGCAAGGCAGCACATAAAAAACAAAAGAAAGCATGGGGGATTTTCAGAAGATACCCCACTGCTAACAATTTGATAGCTTTTTAAAAAGCAAAGGCAAATGCCAGAAGAATAAGGAGAGAAAGCCAAAGGGATTCTTGGAGGAAGTATGTTTCTAGCATAACATCTTCTACTAGCTCAAAAGTAATCTGGGGTAAAATCCATAAAATTAATGGGAAATATGGTTTTCACTCTCTGTCCATGCTAGAAAATAATGGTACAATAATCAGCGATATACAGATTATTGCTGATATGCTGGGTATAACATTCTCCTTTCTATCCAGCAATATTATGTATCCAAGGAATTTTCAGGTTTATAAAGCTGAAAGTGAAAAATAATATTTAAACTTTACATTCCTCATTAGATGAAGAGTGAATGTGCCATTCAGCAGAATAGAACTACATGCAGTGATCTCTTGCTCAGGGAATAGTGCTGTAGGGCCAGATAAAATTCACTACAGCATGACCAAAAATCTGTCAGACAATTCCCTTAGTAACCTTATAATCTGTTTAATAGAATATGGACAGAACATACTTTTGGAGACTATCTATTATTATTCATATTCCCAAGCCAGGTAAAGACTACAAGAATCCCTCTAATTACAGATCAATCTCTCTGACAAGTTGCTTGTGTAAACTCTTTGAGAGGATGGTAAACAGACGTCTGATGTATCTCTTAGAGAAAAATGAATACTTTTCATTACATCAGAGTGGTTTTCGTAGGAACAGAAGTACCACTGATAACTTAGTAAACCTTGAAACATCTATTCGCGAAGCGTTTGTCAGACGACAGTACTTAGTGTCTGTGTTTTTTGATATAGAGAAGACCTATGAGCACTGTTGGCGATACGGCATACTCCGTGATTTGTACGAATTCGGATTGCGGGGTAATTTGCTGATTTTTATAAAAAACTTCTTAGAGAATCGAAGATTCCAAGTTAGGATTGGCAACACTTTATTTAGGCCTTTCATGCAACAAGAAGGTGTTCCTCAAGATTCTATTTTGAGTGTGACTCTGTTCCTAATTAAAATTAATAGCATAGCTAAATGTCTTCCATTTAGTGTGAAACACTCTTTGTATGTGGATGACTTTCAGATCTTTCGCCAGTCTAGCAACATGAGTTTTATTAAGAGACAACTGCAAAACTCCCTAAATCGCATAGATTATTGGTCCAAGACCAATGGTTATAGTTTTAACACGGAGAAGACCTTGTTCATCTACTTTTGCCGAAGGCGTGGTTTGCACTTGGATCTTGAAATTTACCTAAATGGGGTCAAAATCACAATGGTGAATGAGGCAAAATTTTTGGGTGTTTTGTTCGACCATAAACTGACGTTTTTGCCGCACTTGCGCAATTTGAAGAGTAGATGTTTAAAATCTCTAAACCGTTTAAAGGTATTATGCTGTTCATCCTGGGGAGCAGACAAAGTTTCTATGCTCAGGATTTATAGGGCCCTTGTCTGCTCAAAGCTGGATTACGGATGTGTTATGTATGGCTCTTCGCGAGAAACTACTTTTCGGATGCTGGATCCAATTTATGATCAAGCTTGCATTGTGCACTGGTGCATTTCGAACTTCCCCTGTTTAAAGTCTGTACGTCGATGCTTATGAGCTTTTACTATATGTCAGGAAAGAACAGTTGTCTCTTTTATTACATTAAACAGAAATCTCATAAAAAACTTACAGCTGATTGTCCAGATACTTAGCTGAAAAGGCAATTTGCAGCTCGCCTAAGCTGTGTCCCTACATTCAACATAAGAATGGAGAATGTAAGCAGCATGATTGATTTTAACACAAGCAACATCTCACATGTTGAGGTTAATAGTATTTCACCTTTGTCAACCCCAGTGATAGATGTTGATTTAAGCTTAAAGCAGTTCCCCAAAGAAACCACACTAGACTACATCTATAGACATCACTTCGCAGAAATTCAAGATGCGACAGGAATTAATTTCTATATACACGTTTGGTGTTCGTGTGGTTGAAATAGTACGATCCACGAATGAAACGCACGGAAAGGAACGTTGCGATAGTTACAATAATAAAAACTTTTCTTTATTTTAATACGAACAAGTTTGGTTTTATAAGGAATCCCAACTGATGTATGAAATCTTCACAATGCGAGGGGCATCAACAGGTAATTTTTGTTTTACAATAATTAACGGTATGACATCCTTTTAGCGCGTAACAATTAATATCTTATATTTGCGTAACTAAATCTAACTTAATCCTAACTTAAGGCTAACTTAATACTAAGGAAATGACAAGGAAGACAGGACAGTGGGAAGGTAAAAGAAAGAAAGAGATAACTTCACTTCGGCCTTTCGTTTTATTTTCTGATGTCTCTGTGCTTTGGATAGGATTTTCTGTTAACAACGATGGCTCTCGTTTCCACTATGTTCTTGACTCTCCTTGCTTTCCGGAAGGTCTTTAACACGCCAGTACAGGCTTTGATCTCGTATGAACTTAGTTCTCACTCCATAGTTACTAAAATTCGAAAACTAATTTGATGTCTCACTACAAGAAATTGTTTTGTAAAGTTTTGTTGGGTCCCAGACCATGTGGGTATAAGAGGTAACGAAGATGCTGACACAGCTGCTAAGACAGCTAGTTTTTCACAGCATACAATGTGTATTGAAGGAGGTGATTTGAAGCTAGTCATTAAAAAACGAGTAGCAGAGAGATGGCAAATTATGTTGAATGCACAAATCCACAATAAGCTACACGAGATCAAACCTTTGATAGAAAATTGGACACATAATAGGCAGTACGATAGGAGATCTGAGGTTGTCCTTACTCGTTTGAGAATTGGACACACTCGACTGACTCATCAATACCTTTTGAAGGGAGATGACGAACCAGTATGTCAGTACTGCAACTGTACTGTAAGTGTTAAACACATATTTTGCAACTGTGTTACTTTTGACCAAAGTCATAGGCAGCATTTCAGAAATGCAAGCTTTAGAGAGATCTTGGGCCAGAGGCCAAATCTGCACAAATAGTGGACTTTTTGAAAGTCAATAATATGTATAGAGAGATTTGATCACTTATTTATTTTACAAATTTTTTACCTTGTTTTGTCTATTTATAATGTATTTATTTTTTGTTGTTGTTTATATATTTAATTTTGTGATCTATTTCTTATGTCATTAATAGGTATAAAGAGCTTTGTAAATGTATTTATTATACAGTGTTATTTAAATTATTGTATATGTTTTTTGTTGTTTATGTATTTACTTGTTAATTNCATACTCGGTTGACTCATCTGTACCTTTTGAAGGGTGAAGATCAGCCATTATGCCAATATTGTAACTGTACTGTAAGTGTTAAACACATACTTTACAACTGCATTGCCTCTGAGAGGATACGTAGACAGCATTTTGGAAATGCAAGTTTTAAAGAGATTTTGGGCCAGAGGCCAAATCTTGATAAGATACTGAACTTTTTGAAAGTCGTAAATATTTATAAAGAAATTTAATTAATTATTTATATATTTATTTATTTATTTATTATATGCTTATATCTATTTTGTTGTTTTGTTTGTTTGTTTCTATTTACGTTTTTGTGTCATATTTATATTTTGTGTTATATATATTTAGTTTTGTTATATTTTACCTTTTGTCATGGCACAGCATGGCCTAAAGGGCCCTTGCGCCAAAAAACCTTAACCAACCAACCAACCAACCAACCAATTTTGTTAATATGAAAATTTTTCACCATTTGCTTTGGCGCAGCTTAGCCTATATGGCTCTTGTGCCAAAAAACCAAAACAAAGCAAACAAACAAACTACTTTTTTGGGCTCTTCCTGATCTATCTCAAGGGATTCATAGGCCTTATGATCTGACTGTGGTTCCTCCTCAGTCTGTTACTTGACTTCTGGAAGAAGTTATTTGTTCTTTGCCACAAAGTCACGTTCGGAGCTTTCTTTGACATGTCTAGCTCTCTCCGTGTCTTGTTTAATATTGACTTTTTTTCTCTTGCTATTTTCCCATTGTCCCTCCTACTACTAAAGTTCTTTTCGATTCTCAGAATGGCTAATCCTACACACTATTGTTCTTTCCGATTTTTAGATGGCCTAATTTTACCCAAAGGCTATAACTGTCATTTGGAAGGTTCTAGAAGGAACAGACAAAGGAAATAGAAGAAATAGGGAAGAAAGATTGGAATTATAACTATATACAATTAAAATACATATGTCGATATGGCCGATGGCCACACATGGATGGATCTAAATTGGATAACCATTTTGGTTCAGCCTTCGTTTGCCAGGACGAAATTGTGGCAGAACAAATAGCAGCAAATTCTTCCATCTTATCAGCGGAGTGGCAGGGTATTTATTTAGCCCTAAAGTATATAAATAGGAAATGTCATCATTGCTGCATGATTTACACTGACTCAGTTAGTGCACTTCAGGCTTTGATCTCGTATGAACCTAGTTCTCACTCTATAGTGATTAAAATTCGGAAACTAATTTGTTATCTCACTACGAGAAATTTTTCTGTAAAGTTTTGTTGGGTTCCAGGCCACATGAGTATAAGAGGTAATGAAGAAGCTTACACAGCTGCTAAGTCAGCAAGTCCTTCACAGCATACAATGTGTATTGAAGAAGGTGATTTGAAGCTAGTCATTAAAAAACGACTAGCAGAGAAATGGCAAATTTTGTGGAACGTGCACAAGTCCACAATAAACTACATGAGATCAAACTTATGATAGAAAATTGGACACATAATAAACAGTATAATAGATCTGAGGTCATACTTACTCATTTGAGAATTGGATTAACTCGTTTGACTCATCAATACCTTTTGAAGGGTTATGATTAGCTACTATGCCAATATTGCAACTGTTTTTTAAGTGTAAAACACATACTGTGCAACCGCATTGCCTTTGAGAGGATTTATAGACAGTATTTTGGAAATACAAGTGTGATAGAGATTTTGGGTTAGAGGTCAAATCATGACAATATACTGGACTTTCTAAAAGTCACTAATATGTATAGAGAGATTTAACTATTTAGTTACCTTATACTTTTATATATATTGTTGCTTTGTTTATTTTTATAGTTGTATATACTTGTGTTGTATCTACTATAGTTGTATAGTTGTATATTGTGTATGTATATATATAGGAGAGATTGACTGTTTGGCATGGTGCAGCTTGGCTTATGTGGCCTTTGTTACATAAAACAGCAACGAACGACAACTGCCTAAAGAATTTTTCCAGTGTCAGCAACTTGACTGAACAACTATCTGAAACGAAAGAACTTTGAACACTTGTAGGCGAATATAAACTGAATTGTTTACTCAAATAATTTTATTTGTCATGATTTAGATTTGTATAATTTATAATTTATTTTTAAATAGACTTACTTCTAGTATAAACCAAAACGGTGCTTAATTCACTATAATTTCTTTCACTAACGTTTTCGAACCTTTCGATTCTTCTTGAGGTGAANTACTCAAATAATTTTATTTGTCATGATTTAGATTTGTATAATTTATAATTTATTTTTAAATAGACTTACTTCTAGTATAAACCAAAACGGTGCTTAATTCACTATAATTTCTTTCACTAACGTTTTCGAACCTTTCGATTCTTCTTCAGGTGAAAAACGGGTAAATCAGTTAACATTCGATTGAGCCAATCTTTTTTGAAAGAATTCCGAATATGGAACATCTCTGAAATTCATGCAATCGTCGTCATCCTCTGCGCATGCGCTGTTGTGAGCCTACGTTTCATTTCGTTATGTGTCATATATCAGGGTTTGCCACGCTACTGATTATGATATTTCATCTTTGTTGTTTATACAATTGTTACCCTGAGTTGCTTTGTGTATATAAATCGCTTCCATCAAACGCAAATAGTGTGTCTGGTGCGTGGTGTATATTATCCTGGCTTGATCAAATAACGGTTGTATGTCAGGGTTTGTTGCGTACTGTGCTAAGGCGGTTGTCGGCCTCTTGTGGAGGATGTCAGCTTTATGTTCTTTAATCCTTACTTTATTTTTAAATATGTAATCCATATATGTGAATTTTATCAAATGTAACCGAAATTATCATTTTTATTATCTCGATGTATAATCAATTGTTTAATTGTTATATTTTGTCAAAGAGAGAGAGAATCATAAACATGTTTTGTAAACAACCAGTTTTTAACATTTACATACTGAGATGAACATCTTTTGTTAAATTGAAAAATCATACATTTTGTAAACGTAGTGTGATTTTTGAAGAAAAGAGAGTGATGGGAGAATCAAGATTAAGGGTTGGTTTATTTTAAAGAAATTATCATTAAAAAGAACGTTTTAGTTTAGAATAAAATAGCATTTCATTTTTTGATAAAATTTTGAACAAAAAGGAGTAACATTTATCATTCTCGGAGAGAATGGAAGTTAAACTTTTTTAGATGGCTGACTTGTATGATGAATCAGAGACAGTTTTGCACACATTACTGGCCACCTGAGAGAGTTGTTTCTATGAAAGGGGGATTTTCCTGCCATTTGAAGTAGTTATTTGAAAGAAGATAACCATATGTAATACTTGCACAGTACCTAAGAAAGGACAGCCACATAAGAAGTCGGCAATATTTTCTAAGGTGCACATAAAAGTTACACTCAATTTTCACACTTTTATTTCGATTTCCTTTCATATAAAGAATCAAAGACAAGAATAAACTGCGTATGTGAAGGTAGTATAAATAATAGAATTATGTAAATTTTCTCACACGCATAGATTAGATTAGTATAAAATTGATCTCTCAGTATATTTATTGTAATTTGTTTCATTGACTTTTATCAAATTTTGTTGTTGTGTTTTTAATTGGTTTAGTTAATTAGTCTTCATACATAGTAGATCCTCCTATTATTTTATGGATGTCGTCACTTGTACGTTATATTTATCATATATAATAGTTTATGCATGCTAATCTGTGATAAATAGATTAACTGGTATCAGTCCTGACAAGATCTCAATTTTTCGAATCGTGATCTATATATATTTATAGCTCAGAAAGCCATCTTTTGATGAGAGAGATAGTCCAATTGACTAGATGCTGAGTAAGTGATAGAGATTATATTCAAGACTGTCTACCCCTGGCTAGAACCTCATACATTCGAGGACCTTTATTTTGGTGGTTTTCTGTGAATAATTGTTTTGTGAATGAAAACAAAGTTGGAATGGCATTATGCTTTAATTTTTTTTCATCAACTCTCACTTTTTTTTACATTATTGGTTCAAAATGAACTTCACACAAACAAGAATTATTTTTAGGTTTCCAATTTTCTTAGCACACTTTTTCAGTCCAAATTTTTGTCCAAACGGGATCTCTCGGAAAATATTTTATGATATATCTTTTTGCAGCTGAATTAGAACAACCAAAAGATGAACATCTAGGCATTATTTAAGTGATATCTGCATAATAATAATAAAGGGTATATTCTAAAACTGGATTCAAAATGCATTAAGACACCTTTAATACATTCAGCAGAATAACAATACAAAAGTACACTACTGGTATGTAAAAGAATCATTTGTTTAATGAATTTTTATATGCCTTCTAAATTGTATTAAATTCACAAATGATATTTTAAATAAACACGTGTTACCAAATAAATGATGCCTTTCAATAAGGTCCAAATTACTAGTGTGTCTTTGTATTGTTATTGTATGGGATGTATCGGCAAGTGCCAAATTTGAGACAGGGCACTGTTTTTCAGTTGACAGGGCTGTCGAAACAGGTAACTTTATTCATTACTAGCTTATAGGGCAGACAGAATGGATTTTTGTCACTGATTTTCTGACAGAAACTGAGCCATGAAGTCTTTTTAGAATCATTCAGTTTGTACTTGTACTTGGCATTGGCTTTCTGAAAGTGTATAATTTTATATCATAAGTTCTATTTCGATAAGAGGCTTCATTACAGATATAAATTATGCCAGAGAATTGGCTTTGACTAGTATTTCCACTGCTTCAGTTGGACTGAGTATCCGTGCTGGTAAGTCAGATTTTGATTTCGAATGAAGTTGTTGAAAGGATAAACTGATAAACTAAGATTGCGATGTAATTAGCGCTGATTGTTAAAAAATTTTAGAATTTTTAATCTGTTATAATAAGGACTACACATGCTAAATATTTTCTATCTTTTATTATAGAGGAACCCTGTGGCTTCCAGTGGCCCAAAGCCAGGACCATTATATTAATTTCGTTATACAATGAACATAGGGAGAAATTCGAATTACCTCAGTATACAGATATTCAGGTTGTATCCTACTGCTTGCCAAATTAACATTGTACCTGTGAACCTTTCATAAATAATTTCTAATAATTTTCTTTAATATTATAGATATGGAGGATGATTTCAAATAAATTAAATGAAGAGGGGTTTTCAGTCACTCCAGCCCAGGTTGACACCAAATGGCGAGGACTGAAAAAAACATTTAAAAAAATAAAACTGCACAATTCCCAATTTGGTAACAACTGGAAACATTGGGAATTTTATTCTTTAATGGACAATGCCATTGGGAGAGGGCCAGAAATATTCCGTTGCTACTTGTAGCAACGCAGATGGAGTGAGAATGAATTCACACTCAAGTTCCACTCCCACGTCATTCCCATCTCCTGTTGTCTGCACATCATCCCCGTCTCCTGTGCCCTCTTCATCTGCAATCAGTTCTCGTAAGAGAAAAAGAGAGAGCAGCGAGTTGATGAAAGTTTTAAATGACATAAGAAGAGAAGTACAGGAGAGGAGGGAGGAAAGGAAGAAAGAGCGTGAAAAGCTCCATGAAGTATTAAATAAAATTTTATAAAAATTATAAATAAAGTTCTTTTTATATTGAAAACAAAAAGTTTTTATTTCATATAAAGTAAACAAAAACTCGTTTTTAATATTTTTTATTAATCTTTATTTCATGAACTTTTGGATGTACCTAAATTACTTAATATTTGATATACAGTAGAGCATCGATTTTCCGAATCAATTGGGGACTGGGGTTGTCCGGATAACTGATATTTCGGATAACTGATTTACATACGAAAAAATAGTTTAACGTATCCGATATCGAAATTTTTCTTTGTTGCGTGTCGCTTTGCGTTGAATTTTCGTTGACGTTAAGCCTAACAAAGACTATTGTATCGTTAAAAATTATTTTTTTATTTTGTACAAACAAAATAAATATATTGAAAAATATAAAAACAATAAAAAAATATACTTCAGATGTTACTTTAGTATCAAAAGCGTAAAATATTTGAGTAGCCCAAGACATAGTTAAAGATTGAAGCGCCACAGTACTGGCGAAAATTTAAATTTGCCGACTGGAATTCTTTCGGATGATTGACTTTCGGAAAATCGACGCTCTACTGTATATACATACAAAAAGTTACATTACAGAAAGTTATATAATGCATATACATACAAAAAGTTATACAGTGGGTGATCGGATAACGAGCACTTTCATGAAAGATTTCTTGTTGTTTGTTTTGGACAACAAACACTTCATATAAACACAAGAAGTGATATAAAATAATGAATTCATTATTTAAAAAATAAATGCTAAAAATGTATTAATGTTATTAAATTATTGCTGTATTCACCGTGCAAAAAGAATGTTTGCCAAATCATTATGCTTATTTTGTGCCTCTCTTCTTGCTTGGACATTTTCAATTACTGCTGGCACTCCAACTAATCTTTCCTCTACAATATTAGTTTCATCTCCTTCTAAGATAGAAAAGTAGTAAAAAATGCATCCTGCCATAATTAGCATTACCATTAAGTCCAATCGATGCATTTCAAGAAGTTTGAAGCAACTGAACCGACCAACAAACAACCCAAATGATCTTTCAATTGAGCTTCTGCATTTGGAAAGCTTAGTATTGAAGTACGACTGAATTTCAGTTAAATGGCCATTGTCTCAGTATGGTGTTAACAAGTATTTAAGGGATAGGCTGCATCACCGAGGAGGTGAGTGTCTACTGGAAATCCTACACCTTCATCAATTCTTTTAGATAATGTGGATCGACGATAGACACAGGCATTGTGAACTGATCCTGCCTCTCCTACATAACAATCCGTGAATAGCAACTTCTCATTGCATACAGCCTGGAGGATGACAGAATAAAATTGTTTCCTATTATAATAGGATGAATGATCATTCCTGGGGGCTTTAATAGCCATATGTTTACCATCTACAACTCCAATCACTCCAGGAAAACCAAACTTTTTCGTATAATAATCGCTTGTTTTAAAAGCCTTCTCTTGGTTTGGCCAAGAAAGTATGCCTTCACTTTTATTTAGGTCCAAAAGTGCAGATGAAAATTCATGCAGTATTTTCCAAGCTGTTTGTCTGCATACATTAAATCGATCCGCAGCTAACCTGAAAATAAAAATGCATGTTAAGTTGCTACATAGTATTGTATATACATATATATTGATAATTTGTATATAATGCAATATATTAACAGCATTATACAGTCTGTTAATTAATTATAGCCACACTTAGGTTGGGTTAGGAATTTAAGAGAAATGATTTCATTTGTATATGCAAATTATTTTACAGATTTTTGAAAATTTCAAAATTAATCATTATATTAATAATTTAACAACAAAAATATATTTTTTGGTTTCCCAAAAGTATAGATAATAAAACAAAATTGCAAAATTTGAAGCATAAGAAACTTATAATTATAAAAATAAATGGCATCACACAGCACTTTTACTTTGTTGTCAAGTAGTAATTTAAATACTGAATCAAAACTTTCCAAAATTCCACATGGAAAAGATTTTAGTATGGAAGAAATTACATGAATATGGAAATTAAAAGCAGAAGGCTGTAGTTTCAAGGAAATTGCAGTTTAAATGAACAGATTTACTCCTGGAATTTATAAAATTTTGGAAAAACATCACTAATACCTTCTAAACATTGATCAGGAAAGCCCAAAATCATATGTCAAAGTGGTAGTGATAGAACTGTGCATCTTGCATCACAACAGAATAAATTATATTGTCAAATTTTGTGTGAAAGTGGATAAAAAACATCGAAAAGCACTATTCATCAAAGAATTTCAGCAGCTCCACATGTGAAATTTGATGCCTTGATAAAAAAAATCATCAGTAACAAAATTGGAAAGAATGCAGTAGACCAAAGGTCACATGCTGTGGAATGACTGATAGCTCTCAGTCCTTTACAGTAATGAAAAGAAATTTAATTTGTATGGTCTAATTACTGGCATGGTATTAGGAAAGATGCATGCAGTTTTTCAGAAGTCAATAAGGTGGTGGTTCTGTTATGGTATGGGGCTGCTTTGGATTTAATGGTTTATCAAATTTAGGGATTTTAACTGATAGAAAAACATCTAAAAATTATCAAGAAGTCTTAAAGTAATTTATTACCTATTGGAGAAGAAATTAAGAGGGACAAACTGTAATTTAATGCAAACAGAGTATTTAATCTTAGTTGTACCATTTTTAGCTTCTGTATGTATAAATTTACCTTTAAAATATAAAAATTTGGTGTGGTTATATTTAATTGACACAAAAAGATCAAGAATTTACAAAATTTATGATGTTAAAAATTGTTAAATTCTATTTTACAGTATAAATAAGTTATGTTTAAAGTTTCATTTAAGAATTCTTTATAGTTTTCTTTTAATTCAAAAAAATATATGCATTTTGTTAATTTTAACCACAATTCATATTATTAACATGAATCTCAATTAACGATATAGATCTGTACTTTACCTGAACGGAGCTTGATTCAATAACAAGTAGAGACTGCACAATATTTTTTTCTCCACTGTCAATGGACATCATCCTTTTGAATTCTGTTTGTTATTAAGTAAGGGTGCTAATTTTGACATTAAAATGTCCACAGTTATGCGTGGTGTCCCGTATGCCGGAAAGGGGGATACTGGTAGTTGAGGGGCAACATAACGTCCCCAACACACTGCTTTGGCCCCTGCTTCGGATAAACGGGAGGCTCAAATCAGGCTCCATTTGAGTCAATCGGCTGGTCGTTGAGTCATTCTTGACCTCGNCTGGTAGTTGAGGGGCAACATAACGTCCCCAACACACTGCTTTGGCCCCTGCTTCGGATAAACGGGAGGCTCAAATCAGGCTCCATTTGAGTCAATCAGCTGGTCGTTGAGTCATTATAGACCTCGGCTTGGAGTCAACCGATCGATGCAGATTGGGCGGACATGTCATACAAGATGTGCTCTTCTTGACTGCATTGTGAGGGTATAGCTCTTGGGAAACCCTGGTGCGACAGTCTATGAGAATTTCCCATGTGACGGCATCCCCTTGTTGGGCCCCGTGGTGGGTGGGGTCACTAGGAGCTGAATAATTATTTTTAAATATGGATTCATTAAAATTAAAAAAATCATGTACCAATGCACCACCACCAAAGGAGGACAGTTCCTCCAACCAACCAGTATATCTCATCGTGCATGCTATGGGAGAAACAACTCTTTCTAAACGTTCCCCCTTTTTGATTCAGAAACATTTTGAATCTACCATTGGGCATCTTAAAAAAATCCAAAAGTTGAGATCAGGAGACCTGCTCGTTGAGGCAGCCTCCCCTCAACAGTCTGAAAAGCTTATGAAGACAAAATGTTTAGGAGACATACAAGTCACCATCACACCACACACAAGTTTGAACTTATCACGTGGTGTGATATCTGAAATTGATTTGATGTCTGAGGACGAATCCAATATTCAGATCGGCCTCTCAGACCAAGGTGTCACTGCTGTCCGACGAATTTCAATTTGTCGAGATGGCAAGTTGATACCAACTAAACACTTTATCCTCACCTTTGGAAAACCGTCATTGCCATCTTTTGTTACAGCAGGCTATTTGCGCTGTTCAGTTCGCTCATATATTCCAAACCCGCTGCGTTGCTTTAAATGCCAGCAATTTGGACACTCACAAACATCCTGCCGAGGTAAAAGCTTATGTGCACAGTGTGGAGTTGAAGGCCACCAGAGTACTGAGTGTACCAGTACTCCATGCTGTGTTAAATGCAACGATGCCCATCCTGCCTACCCTCGGAAATGCTCTGCATGGCAGAGAGAGAAAGAGATTCAGCGGGTGAAAACTGTAAATAACGTATTATATCCAGAGGCTCAACGCATGGTCACCTTAAGCGCTCCTTTGAAACAGAAGAGTTTTGCAGCTGCATTGAAGTCTACAAAGACAATTGGGGTTCAAACAGATATTTCTGTTTCCCCAAAGGAATCTCTTACTCGCCATGCGAAATGTTTAATACTCCCATCACAAGAAACACCAGCAAAGAAGAGTACAAAAGCAAAAACACCCCTACCTAAACCAGGAGTAATAGCGAGAAACTTGGGCTCCAAAAAAGCAAGCAAGAACCCGCTAAACAAACAGAAAGTTAAAGCTGCTCTCTCAAAATCTAGAAAATCAGAGGCACAATCTATGAGTGAGTTCTCTGACTTCTCTGAAGAAGAGACTCACAAAGAGGTTACAAAATCAATGTCACCCCCAAAAGAGAAACCCCCTATTAAATTAAAGAGGGATACCTTTGCAAAGAATGCTGCCTCAAACACATAATGGATTATAAAATAATTCAATGGAACTGTCGTGGTTTCCGCAACAACTTCTCTGACATTAAACACTTGACGTCATCTACCTCATCTCTCTGTGTGGCACTCCAGGAGACTCATTTGAAATCTGGAGAAAGCATTACTTTAAAAGGATTCAATCTCTACCGGAAGGATGATGATAGCCACAACCGTGCCAGTGGAGGTGTGGCTATTGTAGTTTCAAATCACATCCCATCCTTGCCGGTACAAATAACATCTGATTTGCAAGCTGTGGCAGTCAGAATTTCTATTGGAGTAACTGTCACAGTTTGTTCTATATACTTGCCACCAGATGTCAGAGTCAATGAAGATGAATTGGATGCTTTCGTTGAACAGCTGCCTACTCCATTCG